AAAACTATGATGTATAATTATCAAGTGGAAATCTTCCCTCTATCCTCTGCAGCTTAGCTGGATTTTCTTTACTGTATTTACAATGTTACACGTATTCCTGTTTACAAAGTGATGGCAAAAATTAGGAAATGTTAATATTTCCCAACCCCCATGAACTCAGAAGCATTAATTGTCCACCACATCTCAGCCATTTTTTCCAAAGCAATTTCCCTTTAACACAAACACTACCTCTCTCTATCTCATTAGTTTAGATTACGGGAAATACAACAGGGTAGTATCTAAAGGATAACTCTAGCTCCCTCAATTTCTGTTTTCTTTAATAAACAGCAATATCCTAAACTCTGAGAGTGTGACTATCCAGTTACTACATGTCAGTTGGTTGTGGCACAACAGACTCCCCATGGTGAAGCCCTAAAAACAATTAAAAACCAAGGTAGAAAGGCTTAAAGTAAGGATAAAGTTAAATGGAAAGATGCTAACCCTTTTTCAGTTGTATCTTTCTGCAATGTGCAGCCCACAACCTGCAAAAACACAAAAAAAAAAAACAACACAAACACAAGAAAGTTGACAGGAGACTCCTCCTTTGCTGGAGCTGGGGAGTTACAATTCTACAAACCCGACACAAAATTACTCAAATGGAAATGTCTGTGTGACCAGACTAGCAATACTTGAGTGAAATCAAAGTGTTCATAGGAGAGTCATCTACATACTAGGATCAGAAGTGCTATCTGATCAAAACAACTCTTAAAAACAAGCTGACCACTGAGAACATTTTGCAAACAAGTAAAACCCAACGTGCAGCTTTGAGGGAAAAAAACCAAGAGATCACTTCTTGCACTTGCTCTATAACATCCTATAACAGTCTGAGATTTCTCATTTTTTTAAAAACATTTTCCACGGAGCTGGCTAGCTTCTTAAACTTTTTCCACTCACAACCCCTATAATGCTTCTTAAACTGGGAGGTCTCTTGACCCCATATGGGATTAAGAAATGCTAAGCCTGATCAGTGCTTTCCTTATTGGAGCTCTGGACCCTGCTATGTTGTATGTTCTTCCATCTCCATCACTATTAACCATCAGAGTGAGCTACATGGTGAGGACCCTCTCCAAAAATGTGCCGACATCTGCTTCAGGCTAAATTCCTGCTGGCAAAAGCTTATGAATTCAAATTCTTGAGTACTGAATTATGTTGGCCCTATGTTTTGGGGGGAATCAAAACAAACCAGTATAAATATAGTAAGGTTGGCTGCTCACTCTGATTAGGCGTGGGTTTTTTTTTTGGGTGGGGAGGAGGGTTGCAGATACCCTAGGTTAAGCCATTTTTCATAATGTTTTGACAGCCATATAAAATTATGCTGAAAAATTCCAATTGTTTTTCACCACTAACATATCCCACCAGTCTATCTTATAAACCACTCAGCTTTAAAGGAAATTAGCCAATTAAAGCAAAAAAATCAGTACCATACTTCCTGGTAATAATTACCATGGAGGGAATTCAGAGTCCTCAAATGAAAAATTGAGCTTAACCTCATTGAGGGATTGATACATATTAAATACATTATGAAGTCTTAACTGCCTTTAAACATATGTATAATAGTACTAAGTAGGGAAGCTGAACTTGAAGTTATTCATTTTACCAAAAAAAGCAGTGTGGTAATAACTTATAATCCTTTTCAGTCTACTAATGTTAGTTCACTTTGTGTTTACAAAAAGTTCAATATCTTAGTCTGACAGACTGTTGATTTCATAAAAATAATTAGTATACGTGGCAGCAAAAAGCAACTGCCATAAGCAGCTGGTACAAGAGGCTGAGAAAAGCCACCACCTTCATGCACCCCTGCCCAGGGAGATAGAGAACTGAACCTATTTCCTATAGTTTTATAACTACTTCACAACACACTTACCGATGTTTTCTTTTTTTCTTCCTTGGAGGCGTATCAACATCCTCAGCAGGAACTGGAGCTATAATACTAGATTCCTTTACTCTAAACTCATAGACCTGGCAAGAGACAGCAGTTAGATGGCCATGAGGCAAGGCTTAGTTGGGCAGTTTGTCCCTGGGGTGGGGTGGCTGTGGCGCTATCACAGCTACATCAGGGCTCTAAAATCCTATACATTTGAATCCCCTGCCCCCTAGCCTTAAAGTGTAACATTTGTTTAAAAGTTACCATTTTTCAGGACTCTAAAATAAGATTTGAGGATAATCGAGGTAAACAGTTAGGTATTCTTTTAGGTGAAGGCAAATGACCTGCTTGGGAAAATTGTATGCTTAACCCTTATTAATGATTTTCATCTGATATTCTTACCTGTCTACATGTTTTGGTCCCAATCAACCTAGCAATGGCACAAAAATTATCATAGTAAGTGCCAATAAGAACTCTGAACATTGAGGCTTCAGCACCACTCCATTCCACGTTCTCAGGAGGTTCAATATTTGGCTTCATTTTAATTGGTGTTTGACACCTGGAGTTTGCCTCTGCAAAACCAAGATTACATATAACACTATTTTAAGTCATTTGACTATACGTGCAATGGGATAAAATTATGTTAAAAGAAAAAAGATAAGTAAAAGAATGTGTTCCTCCTCATCCTTCTAAAACTAAGTTATATGGAGCCAGTTATTATTGGTTCTCAGTTGTAATGGAGTGGCCAATAGAACTGAAACTTAAAAGCCTTATTTGGCCACTACTTCTAATCACTCAGATTTGTTGTTATTGAGTCGTTTTCAGTCTTTTGTGACCCCATTTGTAATTTTCTTGGCAAACACAGTGGAATGGTTTGCCATTTCCTTCTCTAGCTCATTTTACAGATGAGGAAACTGAGGCAAACAGGGTTAAAGGACTTAAACTTATTTGAACTCTGAAGATGAGTCTTCCTGATGCCAGGCCCAGCAGTCTATCCACTGCACTACCTAGCTACACCCCATATCTCTGCTATTGCCTGTCAAACCTCTTACCAGATTTGTTTAAAAGTACCTTAGTGGATTAATGTGAATTTCTTTTTCTTCCTCTCCCAGTGAAATAAGCAAAAGAAACAGAAGGTAGAGAAAGAAAGAAAAAAGAGAACCAGAATAATCCTAGATCATCAATCTCTAAAAACACAGGAACTCTTGACTTAGATCAGCAAAAAACACCTTATGAAGCTACTCAAGTCATGAACCTCTAAAGTCCCTACAAGTTCTAAATTTATAATCCAGTACGTTTTAATAAAGTTATCTGGTCTTTGTGGTATCAAAGATACAACAAAGCATACTGACTTTCAACATACTGATGTCAAAGTCACTTTGATTATATCTTTTTTAAAATCTTCAAAGCAAGAATTTCAAGAATACTGATAGAAAATTAAAAAATTTTAAAGCAAGTAAACTAAAGCCTGGCTCTATCTTACCAGAAGAGCTGGAAGTTTCATCTTTCTTTTCTTCTTCCTCTTTATCATTATTCTCTCCACCTGTTTCAGTTCCAGCTTCCCTATCGCTGTCTGTGTCCTTTGATTCCAGCACATTAATAGTTGGTGTACTTGGTCTGCTGCTGTTATTTGGAAGCCTTCCCCTTCGGCGACCTCCTGGGCGCTTTGGCGGTGTCTTGATCCGTTCAGCAGTGAGAGCAGCTGCAAACTCCTTTGCCCCTTCCTAAAAAAAGAAACAAAGTCATTTTCAAGAGATGATTCTCAATTTTCAAGATACATTTCCAAAGTCTTTTAAATCTGATAAAAGGAAGAAATAGGAAAAAGATAACAGATTGTCAAAAAATTAATGAATTGGCTCCATGAAACCAGTTTTCTGTTTATAATACAAACTTAGATATTTAATTATAATTCTCTATACATCTGCATACACTAGTTTTTTGGGGAGATTCTTTCCAAGATTTTCAGACAATAACAGAAGCATGATAACTGTCATTAATGCCAAAAAGAGATGAAAGAAATTTCAGGAACAATAATTAAGATATTTTAATCTTTTAACTAAGTGAATAAATTAAAATACAAGTATATCTTTATGTAATGAGGTCATTCTATATATAGTTCTTCTAGAAAGGTAACAAAAAATGAATTTCTATAAGCCATTATTTTAAATGAACTGGTAGTCTTCTATTTAAAGGTAAAATTTTTAATTTAATTTAAAGGTAAGTTTTAAATTTAATTTAAAGGTAAAATCCCCTGATAATAAAAATAAACATCATAATTTAAGTTTTGTAATTTAAATTTTCATATATTAATACGTGCCTTTAGTAGATTTTAAGAATGTGTATGGATGGATTATAAAAACACATAAGAATATGTTCACCTTGGTCTACTTTTACCTATTATTACTTAGGCCCCAAAGCAATATGAGCATAACCAGAGAGTAAAGATAAGATTGGTGGGCTTGATAAAACTTGAAATGAGAGACTAAGTACAGAATTTTGGAATTCTCAGTTTTTAGATAAGTTGTTTGTAAGCACTGTTAGATTCCTGTAGAACATGCAAAAAGGTCCCTGCCCCTAAAGAGCTTACAGTCTTTGGGGGAGACCAGATTTCCACAAACAAAACAGAAAAGAATACAGTATCAAATGTGGTAGTTTTAAAAAAAATGTGGATGGTCAGAAGGAGAGAGATCAATGAGGACTTAAGTAAGCTGCCTTGTTAACTGTCCAGGTTAGAATGCTGTTCAAGAGGGCACAGGTATAACATATCATGAGAGATTCTGACCATGTAGACCTCCACCAGAAGTCCAATATAAAGACTTCATTAATTCCTGGACGTTGAAACAACAGATCTTACCAAATGCTGGTAACAGTGTGGTCCACAAGGTTTGTTATCTAGTGCTGTTTCTGTGTTCTTCCGCTTGTAAGTGTTGGGTGTTGCATGGAATGCTGTGAAAGAGACAAAACCATAAACTACCCAAATACATCTTTGGGAACAAAGTCAGTTATTTAACCAGTTTATCAGTGCAGCTATAGAGCCAGTGAGTGGAAAATCAATGTTGTTAATGATCTACATTATTTACTAAATTTTCTCTTCTAGCCTCGTTGAAGATCATCACATTTAAGTTTGGTAAGTATTCCCTTACCAGTCTTGTCCAGAATGGGTGATTGATACAAGTTCTGGGATAATTAGTGATCTCTCTTTCCTGGCAGTTGAAGTTTATACCTTTATTCAAATAAAGTCCTTAATATCTTCATAGAAACAGTGGGTATTCCTTCTACAACTAAATGAAATTATCTATTTTTAGGAGAAGTTCCAGCTAACACTTAAAATCTCCTACCTTTTTTAGGAAGGTCAGCAAATAAGTTTATAATATTGGGAAATGAGGGGGGAGAAAGAGGTGCAGAATTGAAGCAGGATAGTAAGTACAAATGGGAGCTTGCCAAATGCATGGCAAACTTTGTCCCAAGTCAGAAAAAAATAGAAAGAGAGATTGCCTAAAAACACTGAGTTTTTGCCAACTCAGATTGTCCTTATAAATAACATGGTTTATGTAAAAAGCTGCAACTTGTGGTATATAAAATTTGAATTTACAAAAGTGAGGCAGCTTCTGGAGACATTTTCTAGTGTCCAAAGGCACTTACAATTGCTTGCTCTGTTTTGAAAATTAACCACTATAAATATCATCAATAAACAAAATTAAAAGTTAAAATTATTATAACAGATTGACAGAAAATCCGCATGTTTATGAAAACTATACCTTTTAGGATAAATGGAAATCTTCATTCATCCATGTTTAAAAAGCTCAGAGAGAAAGAGGACAGGTAGGAAAACAGCAAGGAAAAAAATGGAGACAGTGTTTCTTAACTAAAACTAACAGGTTTACTTCTCTTTCAAGTTTGGGAACTACCTTTTCCAGAATGAAAAACCAATAGCACATGACTAATTTGGGATTTAATTACAGTGTGACTAGGAGGGAATCTTTTATATATGCTTAGCATCCAGAAGGTTAAGATCACATCACTTAGGATGGGATTATATCTGAAATTGGAACCAATCTGACACCTGGAGTCTTCAATTACCACAGTAATTCTAAAAAACAAAATGCTTAGAAAATGGGTATGACTGTTTTCTGTTAGCTATACCAAGATGTTTATATATTGAGAACTATGTTTTTGCTTCCACACATCCAAAGAATTTAAAGATTTATTTTTAGGAAACCTGTTACTGTCCTAATAAATAGCAACAAGCAAAATAATTGCATTAACTCCAACATTTCCAGTATTCAGGACTGAAGACCAGAATCCTTATCTAGATACAAACCACCATCATACAGTACACTGAGAGGCAGTGTAGCATATGGGATGTATCAGAGTCAAAAACACCTGGAGTTCAGTCTAACCTCTGACATACTAGCTATGTGACTTTGGGCAAGTCACTTAATCTCTGGAAGACCCCAGCAACTCTCTAAGATGACAGCTTGGAGAGCAGGTGCCAATCTACAGCTGGTACATGGAATTCCTCACAAAGAGCCCTATACAAAGGTGAAATCATAATTCCCATCAAAAAGAAAAAAAGCGTAAAGCTAAAGTAGGAACAGGTTTACACTAAAAAGAAAGAACATTATTTTTGATAGAAAGCATTCTTCATACTTTTGCATGTTGCTGGTCCTTTACCATTAGAATTGCCCCTCAGCAGTTTAAACAATTTGAAATCACAATTCTCTGGCGAAAGTATGTATTTATTATTATTTTTGTAAGGAAATTTTAAAGTTGATGCTTAAAATAACTCTTTGAGACTCTTAAAAGGTTAAAGCCATTTCCGCGTAGATATCTCACCCTAAAACATCCAATCAAATGTTAAGTTGTTAAAAGATTGCATTTCAACTTAAAATGTAACATAGAAAAGACATAGTAGGCTATGAATTTCCCTTAACATGAGAAAGATTAAAGCAAGAGAAATTAAAATATTTTAAATACTAGAAAAAGAAAAGAATATGCCATATATTAAAGGACTTTAAACATGGACGCTGCCCATAAAAGTCAGGTGACAAATGTTTATTAGGTTTTCAGAATTAGATAACTAGAAAAGGCAAAGATTTTTATCTATCACATAAAACTGCAGCTGTTCCCTTGTATCAATATGAATGACATCAAAAACTTCTGACGACTAATAAACTGCAAATCTGAGACATGAATGCCTTAGGTTTCATGTGCTGACTTTTGGAACCCAGAAATAGTTCACCAAATAAATGTCATATAGCACAACTTCAGTAAAAAGTCTCTGAATAAGTGAGTCACTGGATATCCTTGAGAGCTGAAGGGAAGAATCATCCAGTCCAGAACCATTTTCCAGATGAACAGCCAGAGTGGGAGGTACAATAGCTAGTTAGGGACAAACCCTGGAAGCGAACCATAATCTCCTAATATCTCGGACTAGTCTTCCTGTTACAAAAGTTAAGCATATTTTATAAATGTGATTCATTTCTCTAATACCAACATAGACTACTGAAGACTTCAGGGCAGCTAAATGGTGCAGTGGATCAAATGCCAGACGTGGAGTCAAGAGGACCTGAGTTCAGATCCAGCCTCAAGCTCAAAATTAGCTATGTAACCCTGGGCAAGTCATTTAATCCCATTTGCCTCAATTTCTTATTCTGTAAAAAATGAGCTGGAGAAGGAAATCGCAAACCACTCCAGTATCTTTGCCAAGAAAACGCCAAATGGGATCATGAAGAGTTAGACACAACTGAAACAACTGAACAATAACAATAAGATAAAATCACTACAAAAAGATGCCAAATCTGTGCATTAATCTCACCTACTCAGTGTACCACAAATGGTTGGTCAAGTTTCAGATTATTCATACACAACTGTTTTAGGTTAAACATTATGCTAATTTACTTGCCTATATCAGACAGCCATAAAAGCATCTTAGAAATATTTTAGCATTCATTCGCAGATCTCAGAAAGTTTATGCCTAGCCACAAGTTGTGGATAACACCAAAATCAAACATCACGTGCCTTGTGTTCACCATGTTCAGCCTCAACATACTCAATGTTCATTCCAACATAGATGTTCAAATGATTCATCATAAAATACCAACAGGGCCACATGAATCTGACCAGTTCTTGGTCCACGTGGATTTACTTGGTAAGAAATTCAGGCAAAAAATAATCACATATATGCACCACGTACACACGTTCTTCCACCAAGATAGGTCCTACTTAAAACACATATGTAGTCAACTGTTTCAGATTTCCCAGGCTGCACTTCTCTATCTTCTTACTTGTGGGCAGGAATATCTGACTTCTTCCAGTCAGCTTCTCACATCCCACCTAGCACAGCCACTGCTTTCTATCTCTCCCCAACAGTTTCTAAACGAAGTATGCCAAACTAACTGATTATATTGACATTTTTAGGATGAAAAGTTTATGAATAAATCACTGTAATTCCTATAAACGCAGTATATAAATTATAATTTCAACATTACTACTTCTTTGAAAAATTCAGTGCATATTGAAAAATGCACATAAGGTAGATTTCCTGTAGGTCAGACTGCAGAAAGGGTTTCAGTTACTATCATTTAGTAACTTTAATTGAGAAGTGCTCACTAAACAAATATTGTTTAGCCTTGCTGGCTCTGCTGAAACTTATAATAAACTAAAACATCTTTCCAGCTGTTATTTTTCCCTCCATTTTATCCTTAAAAGTAGCAAGGTATATTTGAATTCCAAAAGACACTGAAATTTTAACTACCACCTTCCAAAAAGATGAGGCACCAATTATTTCATTCACTTTCAGATGTTTTGTTTTATCACATTATTTGTGTATGTTGGACCTGGCTATCAGTAATTTGCAGAGTCCCTCATTTCACCATAATTACTCATTGAAATATTAACTACATATTAAATTCTCCCCCAGATCTCTTGAATATGTTTTACATGTTTCTCATAAAGTTTGTGATTTAGAAGATTAAAAAGAATAAAAAAATTTGACAGTGAGATGATGGATAGTCCAAGTGCAGAGACAAAAAGAAATGGATATGTTTGACCACACATGACAATACCCCCAACTCCAAGCTGTGCATGCATACAACATCCTCTAAATAAGCCACTAAACAAAGATGATGACTTTGTAAGTCAAATAAAATTAGGTTGTGGATATGAAGTTCCCAATGGCTGTAGCAGTTGTGAGGTCCATCACTCTCAATGCCTTTTATGAGCAGCTGACCAGTACCTCAGATGGTATTAACAACAGGATTCTACTTATCTTCTTTTCACCAACTTAAATAATGTCACAGTTAATGAATGTGAAAGGCTATCAATTATTTAATGGATTTGTTTACAGAAATTACACTGTAGTAAAAGTAAATTGGACGGGCAGCAAGGCAGCACAGTAGATAGAACACCAGCCCTGGAGTCAGGAGGACCTGAGTGCAAATCCAGCCTCAGACACTTAATAGCTGTGTGACCCTGGGCAAGTCACTTAGTCCTGATTGTCTCAAAACTAAAAAATAAAAAAATTTGTAAAAAAAGTAAATTGTTTAGATATGAAGCTTTGTGGTTCCCTGAGAAACTTGCTGGCTATATCACCCTCTGGGCAAGTCACAACCTGTCAGCCTTAGTTTCCTTACCAATCAAATGGGGATAAGAACTGTACCTATACCTCAGAGTTTTTGTTAGCATTAAATGAGATACTATATATGCAAAAGTGCCTCACAACCCTTAAAGCAATGTATCTTAGTCATTCTTGTTGCTGTTCTTACTAAGAATTAGTGCTTCTGCTTGCAAAGTTTTATTTGGCATTTTGGGTTTCATTTTTCTCATCAGTAAAATGTAGCTATTATCTTACTTTCTCTGCCAGGATTACATTTGAATACAACATAAAATGTTATAATAAAAATTAACCTTTTAAATATATTGATTATGTTAGAAATGTTTTCTAAATGATGGATACTTCAAGGCTAAGTGTTTGAGGGCTGTTATGAAGGCTATGAAAAAAATGATAAAATGATGAAATGCTCAGATTGGAGATCTCATATTTAGCTAGTAAGTAAATTGTCAAAAGGCAGCATCAATTATTTTATTATAGAATCATTAGTTTAGATCCAAATCTACTCACAAATT